AGGCGGCACAGCTGTCCGCTGGGTAGCCTTCCTCGTGGATCTTCAGGTAACCAGTCTGTGTCTCCTGCTCCGCCTTCAGAGATGGTGAGAACGACCGGGGGCAGAACTTCACGAGCAACTTCTGAGCGAATTCTGGCTCATTGTTCACGAGCGACTGCAAGCCCGGAATGAGCTCGAAGTTGGTCTCCCACGGCTGGCTCGCCCAACCCCTGAGTATCTGCAGCTCTGGCGTCATGTGCTCTGCAATGGGGGCCATGAAGATTTGTATTCCCTTGTCCTTCATCGCCGTTGCCTTCATCGTTGTGCGGTAAGCATTAGTCCATTTGCCGTCTGAGATCATCATAACAGCGCTCTGCGCGTCATCACGGCCTTCCGCGAACATGTTGTCAGCGGCAGTGAGGGCTTGCATCATGTTAGTGAACCCGCGCTGCCACTGCAACCCTTGGATCGCCGTCTCGACGGACTCAAGGTCGCTGGTGATGGGTACCACCTCGAGAGCAGCCGCGACTGTCCCATTGTCGAAATACTCACCGTTCCCAAACAGCACCAGGCCTATGCGCATGTCCTCGTGTCCGTAGTAGACGCTCTTGTACTTGCTGGTGAGGTTCAGGGCGAACTTCTTGATGTAGTCGAAGCCTTCCTGCTTCACGGAGCCACTGCCATCCAGCGCAATGACGAGGTCCTGCCTGGCAATGCAGATCTCGTCGCCGACACAGTCCTGGGTGTTGCACTGCTGCATCTCGAAGCGGTCGGGGTGCTTCGCCTCGGGGCACTTGCCGTTCGCCCGGATGGGGATGTCCACCTTTCGATGGCGCTCCTGGATGCCACCCCCGCAGGCCATCGAGCAAGGCTCCCACGCAGTCCAAGGCATGAGAGTGCAATCGCGGTCGCACGACCCAGTGTTGCACGGCCGCTCCTCGAGCGTGGCATCGCACTCCGTCCCGCCGTTCTTTGGCTTCGTGAGGACCGAGCGGGTCTTGCCCTGGGTGCCACCTCCACACTCCTTCGAGCACGAGGAGAAGTCGGACCACTCGGACACCTGGCAGTTGACCGGGCAGTGGAACTGGTTGCACTTCATGCCCGCGGTCCCATTTTTCCGCTCGTAGAACAAGGGAGGGCACGCCATGCCGAACGAGTTCGGCGAGACGATGACCTGCCGCGTGAGCTGCTTCATGCCGCCGCACGTCTCGACGTCGACACCTCCAACGTCGGCGGGGCAGGCGTCGTCGCAATCCACCGACTGTGAGGTGCCTCTGCCGTCTGTGGTGCACGGCCCCGCGGACCAGTCCGTCACGTCGCAGTCCTTGATCGCACTTGTGGGCGAGACCGTGCTGTACCGCATCAATGAATTGCGCACGGTCCGGGTTCCACAAATGTTCGTGTAGAGGATCTCGGTCATGCGCTTCTTGCAGTCCGCCATCTTCATCTTGAATGCATGTTCGATATCTCGGTGCTGCTGCTGCTTCTCACGCGTCGCCGCCGTGAGCGAGTTGATTTCAGAGACCGCCTCGCCCAGCATCTCCGTGAACTTCATCTTGTTGTTCCTCAGGGTGGCTATCTGCTCGTTCAGGTTCTCCTTCTCGCCCTCGTAGGCGTCGCGGTTGCGCTGCATGATGTACGTGAGCTCGTCGACGAGGTCCTTAAACTTGCCCCACTCCAGGGCCATGATGTCGTGGAGGTAGCCGCAGTTCACCTGGCCGTTGACGCACTTCCTCGGGCCGCCCGGCGGCGTCTTGACCGCCTGCGGCGCGGGAGCCTGCCCCGCCTGCAGCAGAGAGGGGGGCGCGGGGCCTCCCGCCGCGAGCACGTCGCGCAAGGCCTTCTGCACGCGCGGCGAGCGCCGGATCTTGGCCGACAGGGCGGTGTCGTTGGTGTCCACCGCGACGCCGCCGTCGGCCGTGTCGCAGACCTGGAACTGGGTCAGGGAGTACGTGTCGTCGCCGTACTCGTTCGGGCACTTGGACAGCTGCAGGATGGCGGTGAAGACGTCCTGGTCGTCCTGGCGCAGGGACAGCTCGTACGCATTCTTCTCGCGGGTGCTCTGGAAGTCGCGCTTCTTGTTGTGGAGGTCCGTCTCGAGGCCTGTGATTCGCGTGTCCATGTCCGCAATGCCGCCCTCCGACTCGGTCTTCATACGCTCCCTGTCGGCGAGGTCCGAGCCCAGGTGCTCCAGGTCGGTCACCACCTGGCTGAAGACCATGCGATTGCTCTCCTCGAACTCCTTGCACTCGACCTCGATCCCGTCCAGCTGCAGCCAGGCGTCGTACATCATGTTGTTCAAGTACACGCGGCCCTTGGCCAGCGACACCTCGCTGAACTGGCCGGTCGTCTTCTTCCCCTCACCACCCGAGAGGCGCAGCAGCGACTGCACGTCCTTGGGCAGCCTGTCCTCCACGAGCGGCAGCGCTTCGCTCAGCTTCATCCTCTTGTGCACCTTGTCCGCGATGTGCCGGGTGGTCGTGTCTCTGCTCCGCAGGAGGTCCTGCACCATGTACCCCACCCTGGCGCGCAGGCCCGTGGCTGCCACCTCGCGCCTGTCCGTATGCGCGCCGCCGCTGGCGGCTCGGAGGAGCGAGGCGCGGCCTGGGGCGCAGGCGGCGAGCACGAGGGCAACACCGAGGGTCGTCTTCATTGCTGCGGGCTGGAAGGTCTTAGCTGCAGCAAGACCTGGGCCAGAGTCGAGTGCCAAACCTTGAGCGGCAGTGGCTACGGAGGGAGCCTCTCGGGGCCTCCTGTGGACCTTCGGGGGGCTTGTTGGAGCTCCTGGGCGACCCAGTGGGAGCCCAGTGGCGGCCTCGCCTTCTCGGACTCTGGGGCTGTATTGGGACTCTCTTGGAGCTTCTCGGGCAACTCTGGGGGACTTTCTGAAGACTTTTTCGGACCTCTTGGAATCGTTTGTGGCCTCTTGGAGACTGTTGGGACCGTCCTGGAAACCGATTGGGGTTTCTTGAAGGCTTCGGGGAACGTTCGGGAGGCTTCCTGGGAGCTTCTTGAAGGCCTCTTGGAGGCCGCTTGGGGCGTCCTGAGGGGCCCCTCGGGGGCTTCTTCGGGTTTCTTGGAGCCTCTGGGGACCTTTTGAAAGCGTCTCTGGGTCTTCTGGTGGCCTCTTGGAGGCGTGAGCAGCCCAACAGAGGCGGAAAGGCGAGAAGGCCTAAATCATAGGTCTCCCCTGGGTTTTCGAAGGCTTTGCGCTTCTCGGATGCGTTCTGGAGGGCCTCCTGGAGGTCTCCGGGGCTGTCCTGCGCGTCCCTGGAGGCACTGCAGGCTCGTGGTGGCCGTGAGAGACCCTGGAAGGCCGTCTTGGGGGGGAATCCGAGCTGTCGCGGGCCGGCTGGATGGCCCTTTGATGGCGTTCCCTGACGATCTGTCGGGGGCGCGCGCAAACATGGATTAGCGATCCATGGATTTGGCGCGCGGTCTCCAAATCCACGGATCGCGGGAGGTGCCCTCCCCAAAATGCGGCCGGTGCCGCCTCGGCCGGCGGCGGAAATCCGCGACTTTTCCCTCGGAAGCGGGACCCGTCGCCAATCCACGCCCCCTTTTGATCCGTGTTTGTGACTGCCTGAATCTGGGGCGGCTCACAGGCGGTCTCAGGCACGGCCTGGGCCCAGGGCCACACATCTGCGGTAGGGGTCGCGGCCCCCCGGCCCCTGGGTCTGGTGCGCTACTACCTGTACACAACAATGCAGTTCAAATGCAACACAGCACAGCTACAATACAAATACAAAACAAAACATGCACAACACAAATACTTCACGACAGAACTGCAAATTGAGTATCACACCAATTCAGTACAAATACCCGTACGCAGATGACGTCTAGAACTGCTCTTCTCCCAACAAGGCCGCTACGCTCCGTGGAGCGACCCTACTACAAACCCTATTCAAACGTCCGCGCGCAGGAAATGGTAAAACTCCAGGTCCCGCCAGAATCCTCTAGGTTTTGGCATTCGCAGCGCCCCGTTGGGAATCCGTTCGGGTTCCTCCGAATCCAGCAGGTTCGTTTCAGGATTCCGCATGATGCCTCAGAACTCATCGAGATTCTTCAAATTTGCCCAGACTCTCCAAGGATCCCGTAAGATTCCTCAGACTCTTTCGGGATTGCGCAAGTTGGGATTCCGCAAGATTTTCTGGGGCCTCTACGATGTCCCAAAATTCCTTCTGGGTTCTTCAAGATCCCCCCGGTTCTCCGATAATTCCTCAGATTCCCTTCGGGCTCCTTCCGGTTCCCTCCGCATTCCTCACGACTACTCACAGCCCCCCTCGGGGTTCCCCCGGACACCCAAAGACTCCTGAAGGGCTCCTCCGGACTCCCCAGGGATCTTCGAAATTCCTGGGGAGCCCGCAGACCCCCGACGGCTTCCAGGAAGATCCCTCGTGCTCCTGGGCGAACCATGTGGGCTCCTCCGAATGCCTTGGGCTCCTTTTGTCCGCCGGGTTCCTTCGGAAACCCTCGAGGGCGCCCCCTGGCGCCCGCACGGCTCCCGAAGAGATCTGCGGGGCGATCGGTTCAGAAAACTCCCCTGCGAACCCTGAGAGATCGTGAGGGACCCCCCTCCCCGCGGCGCGACGCGTCGAGTCGCGTCGCGGAGGGGCGGGCAGACCACTGGGTCGCTGCCTGGGCTCCCCGAGGAAAACGAAGCAGTCTGCGGGGACCCTGCGGAATCACGAGGCCTCCCGAAGAATCCTCGAACATCTTGAAGGGATCCTTTTGATCCCTAAAGAATCCTGAGGACAAGATACGGGGAGAAGGGAAACAACACTCTGCAGTGGTCTTCAGAATTCCGTTGGATTTGTCTAGCTGCACCGAGAACTCCAAGGAGCCCTGAGGAACTCCGAATGCCCAGCTCTAATACGATCCTACTAAAATTGTGTCCAGCTCTCATGGACCCAGCTCCTAAGAAGGAGGTGGGTCCAGCATCCTCATCCTCAGCCTCCCCCCTTCGCGGGCTGAAGCCCGGTCATTCCGCCCCGGACCCGCGCGCGCATCGCGCCAGACGCCTGCGTGGTGCTCAGGAGCCCCACTGCGGGGACCGCGAGGCAGACCAGGCCGTACGACGCCGTGGACAGCATCATCAGCGTCCTGCTGTCGGCAGACCACGACCATGACCACGGCCATCACAACCACGACCACGACAACGACCACGGCGACGACGACCACCACCACCACCACAACGACCACCACGACCACCTTCACCACCACCACAACGACGGCGCCAGCGGCAGGCAGGGCGCGTGCGGCAAGCGGGACAGGGCACGGACGCGGGCCTCTACTGCCAGGAAACACCCCCCCTCGGAGTCCCACGAGCCGTGAATCTGCCTGCGTGGAGCGTGGGCGCACCTCTGATAGAATCAGGAACGTTTGCTCAGCGTGTCGGCCCGGGCGACACGCTATGCCTGCGAGCGGATAGCGTGTGGCTCCGCTCCGCGATGGCGGAAGGATGGGAAGGCTCGGGAAACTGACGCTTGGGAACTGTAGGACGTAGTTATCGTGTCGCGCCGAAGCGCCGTGGGCCAGAACCGGCGGAGCGAGGGTGTTCAGGAGTCGCTCGCAAGCAGGCCACCTCTCAAGAAATTCTGACATGGATGACTCCATCGGAGTCTCCTGGAACGCTAGGGTCCACTGGATCTCAGCCCAACGCGCGCATGCGCAACAACATCCATAACAAAACAAAGACTTACTGGAACAGAAACTTTCAGAATTCCGGGCAGATTTCTTGGGTCGGCGCTGGATCCACCTCGTGGCGCATCCGGCGCCGGGTCTAGCACACCGACCCAAGAAATCCGCGGGGAGTTCCGAAAGTTCCGAAAGTTTACTACGCGTATGCCGTTCTTGCTCTTCCACCGATGAATTCTCGACATCGTCGGCTGTCTTCCAAGAAGGCAGGGAGGGATCGGAGACTTCTGAGAAGGCTTCGCAGAAGGCAGGGAGGCTCCTGAGACGCCCCATGTCTTATGACGCCACCCCCATAATTAGAGGCCTCCCACATGCGATCCGAATACATGGGGTCGGAGGATCGTGCCGCATCGCCGATGCGTCGACGATGCATCGACGATGCACCGGCGAGGTCGGCGGTGCGTCGGCGACGACGCCGTGGAGAACAGCGGGCTCCACATCGAGCCGCATCGGCGATGCATCGGCGAGGCGGCGCGATTCTCCAGCTCCATCTACTCACTCGGATCCCAACTGGGAGGCCTAGAACGACGAAGGCCATTAAGACAACTCTGGCCTCCAGTGGCCGCTCGGAACGACTCCGGCAGCCCTGCGACGCTTTGGGGGAGACGCAGCTGCCGAAACGCATCCCGAGGCAGGCACACCTCCAGGAACCGACGAAAGCGGCAGACGACCTCGCCGCCCCCGAAGCGGAGGCGCTCCAGCGGCGCGACTCGGAGCGGCTGCTCTCGTGCGCGGCGCCAGCACCCGAGTCCGCCCCCGTGGCGGGCGCGGCGGCCCCGGAGGCGGTGTCGGCCTCGCGGCGGGTCCCCCGCCGCCCGCCGCCGCCGCCGCCGTCACTCCGCAAGCGTCGCCGTCGCGGTCATCACCGCCTCCGCAGGCGTCGCCGCCGCCGTCATCGCAGCCGCCGCCGCCATCGTCACCGCTGTCATCGCCGCCGCCGCCGCCGCCGCCGCTGCCGCTGCTGAGGCCCTGGCGTTACCGATTCTGCACCACCGGCGTTCTCACCGGGCATTGGGCCACGGGGCCCTCACGAATCGACCTGGAGAGCGCGGAAAGCTGGTCTCTGGGGCTCTCGTCGTGATTCCCCGCGATGTTTCATTTTTCTCCGCCTCCTCCCCCGCCTCCTCCGCCTTCCTCCTCCTCCTCCTCCTCCTCCTCCTCCTCCTCCTCCTCCTCCTCCTCCACCTCCTCCTCCTCCTCCTCCTCCTCCTCCTCCTCTTCTTCCTCTCCCTCCTCCTCCTCCCACTCCTCTTCCTCCTCTCCTCCTCCTCCTCCTCCTCCTCCTCCTCCTCCTCCTCCTCCTCCTCCTCCTCCTCCTCCTCCTCCTCTCCTCCTCCTCCTCCCTCCTCCTCCTCCTCCTCCTCCTCCTCCTCCTCCTCCTCCTCCTCCTCCTCCTCCTCCTCCTCCTTCCTCCTCCTCTCCTCCTCCTCCTCCTCCCCCTCCCCCTCCTCCTCCTCCTCCTCCTCCTCCTCCTCCTCCTCCTCCTCCGCCTCCTCTCCTCCTCCTCCTCCTCCTCCTCCTCGCCTCCTCCTCCTCCTCTCCGCCTCCTCCTCCTCCTCCTCTCCTCCTCCTCCTCCCTCCTCCTCCTCCTCTCCTCCTCCTCCTCCTCCTCCTCCTCCTCCTCCTCCTCCTCCTCCTCCTCCTCCCTCCTCCTCCTCCTCCTCCTCCTCCTCCTCCTCCTCCTCCTCCTCCTCCTCCTCCTCCTCCTCCTCCTCCTCCCCTCCTCCGCCTCCGCCTCCTCCGCCTCCGCCTCCGCCTCCGCCTCCGCCTCCGCCTCCGCCTCCGCCTCCGCCTCCGCTCCGCCTCCGCCTCCGCCTCCGCCTCCCCTCCGCCTCCGCGCCTCCGCCTCCTCCTCCGCCTCCTCCTCCTCCTCCCCTCCTCCTCCTCCTCCTCCTCCTCCTCCTCCTCCTCCTCCTCCTCCTCCTCCTCCTCCTCTCCTCCTCCTCCTCCTCCTCCTCCTCCTCCTCCTCCTCCTCCTCCCTCCCTCCTCCTCCTCCTCCTCCTCCTCCTCCTCCTCCTCCTCCTCCTCCTCCTCCTCCTCCTCCTCCTCCTCCTCCTCCTCCTCCTCCTCCTCCTCCTCCTCGCGCTGATGGAGGGGGAAGCCCTCACGAGACGAGAAGAGACGAGCGCAGGCGTCGCGCGCGCTCCGCCAGGGATGCCCGCCAGTGCCCGTCAAGAGCATGGCGTGGAGGCCGAAACCTCGGTAGAGAGGGTGCGAGTCTGGCCAGCGGGCTGGCTGGCCGCTTTCAATGGGCAAGGCCGTGGAGGGCGAGCACGGGCCGAGCGCAGAGGAGGAAGAGGAGCAGAAGCCCTCCTCACGGGCGGCGAACAACTCCGTATCCGCACCCTCGCGGTCTAGACTCCGAGGCGCGAGCCCCTGGCTGGATGCGCGGGGTCGCGGCTAAGGGGCCTGGCCTGCAGGGCCGCGGATAGGGAAATGCTTGTCACCTACAAGAAGAGGACCAGAATGGGGAGCTCCCCCCCTCCCCCCCTCACTCTTTCTCTTTCTTTTGTTTCATCTCTCTCTCTCTCTCTCTCTTGCAGTGCCCTCATCGAGTCGGCTTGCGCGGGGCCAAGGTCGAGTCGTTGACGGCAAAGTGCTAACCAGACTGTGAGTTGCGGGAGCTGCCTCTTCTACGGCCGGGGCCCTAGCCGTGACCGAAGAGGCCGGACCCTGGACAAGAGCCCCAGCCAGCATCGCTGGCACCGCTGACGTGTACAGTCCTCAGCGCGTCACGGCCTCGACGCACCAGGCCCTCCCCCATCCCCCACCTCCACCGCTCTCCAACTCCTCCGCCCCGCCCCACTCCCGACAGGCCCCTCGGCGCAGCGCCGGAGGAGGAGGAGGAGGAGGAGGAGGAGGAGGAGGAGGAGGAGGAGGAGAAGCAGGAGGAGGAGGAGGAGGAGGAGGGGAGGGGAGGAGGAGGGGGAGGACGAGGAGGAGGAGGAGGAGGAGGAGAGGAGGAGGGAGGAGGAGAGGAAGGAGAGGAGGGAGGAGGGAGGAGGAGGAGGGAGGAGGAGGAGGAGCAGGAGCCGAAGCGCACGCCCGAGAGACCGCGGTGTGCGGCGGCGCTGCGGCGGCGGGCGCCGCCTGCGGCCCCTCGGAGGCGTCGCTGCGCACGCACACGGAGCTCACCGCCGCGGTGGCCAGGAAGGCGATGGACACGCAGCTGAACTGCCTGCGCGGCAGAGCGCCGCGCGGGGCGCCCCCGAGTCTGCCCGGCGCACCTCTGCCGAGCCCCATCCCCACACCCGCGGGCCACCCCGACGCCGGCAGCGACGACGACGAGGACGAGGACGAGGACGCCGACGACGCCGACGACGCCGACGACCACGACGACCACGACGGCCACGACGACCACGACGACCACGACGACCACGACGACGACGACCACGACGACGACCACGGCTGTCCCCGTCCCCATCCCCGAGGCTCTGACCTCGTTTCGTGCCCGTCCCGACGGCAGCGCAAATCTGTCCCAGATGGTTCCACATGCACCCGAAGCTGCAGAAGCTCCGCCTCGGTGAAGTCCTCGACGTCCCACGTCCCAAAATGCAGACCAGCGCCGGCACCCCTTGCCGCCTCTGCGGCCTTCCCCCGGGAAACGCCGGCTACCACTGCCCCCCTGGGGCGCAGGGGCGAGCCTCCTCCCCGAGGCAGCAGGCACTGGGGCGCTCACGCCCACGCCCCTGCAGAGCCCCCCCGCCCCCCCCCCCCCCTCCACGCAGAGCCGCCCCCGCCCCCGCCCCCCCCCCGCAGAGCGCCCAGAGAAGCCCCACGCCGCCAAAGAGCAGCCGAGAACCTCGATCCCCCCGATCCTCGACGACGACAGGAGAAAACCGCACGGGGGCTGTTCGCCACGCTCGGCCTCCAGAGGCCGTCCTCGGGCTCCGCGACCGTCGAACGAGTTCTCGGGGAAAGGGTGGGGACGTCTGGGAGCCCCGAGGGGAGAACTTCACGCCCTCGGAGATATATATATATATATATACAGATACATATATATATATATAGATACATTTATATGCATACATTTACCTATACCTATACCTATACATATACACATACACATATACATGCATACATGCATGCATGCATGCATGCATGCATGCATGCATGCATGCATGCATGCATACATACATGCATACATGCATACATGCATACATGCATACATGCATACATGCATACATGCATACATGCAAACATGCAAACATGCAAACATGCATACATGCATACATGCATACATGCATACATGCATACATGCATACATGCATACATGCATACATGCATACATGCATACATGCATACATGCATATATGCATACATACATGCATGCATGCATGCATGCATGCATGCATACATACATACATACATACATACATACATACATACATACATACATGCATGCATGCATGCATGCATGCATGCATGCATGCAGACAGACAGACAGACAGACAGACAGACAGACAGACAGACAGACAGACAGACAGACAGACAGACAGACAGAAAGAGAAAAAGAGAGACAGACAGACAGAAAGACAGACATATGTATATATAGATGCATATGTAAGGGAACCTGGGCGCGGGAACTGCTGGCCCGCTCCGTGAAACTCTGAAATCCAAGCAGGCCGACACCTCTCAGGGGGCATGAACGCTTTGCTTCCGCCTGCGTCCGTTAGGCCGGGCATGTCCTCCTACAGGCGGATTTGGGGCGAAGAATAAAATAGTCCAGAAATGCTCGAAACTAGTCCAAAAAAAATCCAGGCTACTTTATGACTAGTTTTGAATTTTCCTCCTGTCGAGGGACATGCCCGACTTACTGCTTCCGCCGGCCTTCCGCCGGCTCTCGCCTGCGGAAGGCCGACACCTCTCTCTCTCTCTCTGCTTCCGCTGCCCACCGCCGAGGAGACTGGAGACTGCGCCTGTGCCGTCCCAGGGGGACGGCCCTGCGCCGGACTGGGAGGTGGCGCTGGAGCGCCGTCATCACTCGAAAGTCGTCGACGGCGAGCGAGGAGGGGGGGGAGTGAGAAGGAGAATGCCTTCTCAGAAGGCGGCGCGGCGGGACTTCTCAGAAGCCCTCCGGCCTTCTGAGAAGTTTATTGTACGTCTTCGGAAAAGGCTTTGAAAACTTCTCTGAAGGCCGGGGGGCTTCTGGTCCTTCTGAGGAGGCCTTCTCCTTCTCGCTTCCCTCCCGGGGCTCGCCGCCGAGGTCACATCTGATACTCTGGCGATCCTCGATCCCTCGAGGTCAGCCTCACGATCCCTCTGGGGCGAGGCCACATCTAGAGCGCCCCAATTTGCTCGACGCCGCTGGCGCTCGCAGGGGAGAGGGCAGGGAAAGCTACCCCAAAGCGCCGATCACCGAAACTTCACGCCAGCGCCAACGCGCGTCCACGTCAGCGTGAGCCCGTCAAGCGAAAAGCACTTCTGACTACCTACCAGACCACCCCAACCTAACCCCAAATCCCCAGTGTCGGGTGGAGGGGGGTACGGGCTCCATTTTTTCCCCCAAATGTTCCGGGATGCCCCCCCTCTGGGAATAGAGGGCAACGTGTGGCCTTCCGGTTGGGTTGGGGCAGTTTGGAGGGCAGTGAACTTCACGCGCGTGGACACAACAGGCGCGCCGAGGGCCGCCAAGGGCCCCGACGATGCCGGCGGAGCCATGGATCTGGGCTCGCCCGCAGGCCCTGGAGCGCCTGACGTCCGCCGATGCGATGCCTTTTCAGTCCGCGGCGCACTCGAGGCCCCGACAGCGTCCCCCGGGGCAAGTCTCTCCGCCACGGCCTCTCGTGGCCGATGAAGTGCCCGGGCCCGATCGCCGGCCCCGGAGGCCGAGGTCGAAGTAGGAAGGCACCAACTATACACCAACACCGATCCTGGCCAGGATCACCCTGGGCCCAGGATCGGTGTATACGCCCTCCTGCCTTGCGCAAGAAGGCATGTACACCGATCCTGGGCCCAGGGTGATCCTGGGCCAGGATCGGTGTTGGTGTATAGTTGGTGCCTTCCTACGTCGAAGGAGAGCGCCGGGATGGAAGAGCACACCTCGTCGGAGCGCTGGGGCCCTCGGCCCCCCCCGCAGGGCCGAGGCGTTCTCGTCCTGCAGCGCGGTCCGAGGGCCCCCGGGGCCCGAGGGAGGGGCCCTGTGGGCGCCGGCGGTGCGGGAAGACAGGCCGGCTGCTCCAGACGTCGGAGGGCTGGGTCTCCAGAGGTCCCCTGGAGGCCTCCGAAGGTCCCCGAGGGTCCCCAGAGGCCTCGGGGAGGGCCCCGGAGGCCCTTCGAAGGGCCAAGAACGTCCAAGAGGCTCCAGAAGCCCCAGAAGATCGAGGTCGCTCCTCTTCGTCGCGGTCGTCGTTGCCGTCGTTGTCGTAGCCTCGTCGTAGCCTCGTCGGTCTGCGCAGGGGGGGGTGACGTTACTCTCAGGAAGCAGTCGTGAGAGACTTGTGACCGCCGTGCCTGCGGCGGTCTTCTCTTCTAGATGCGCCGCCAGGACATGTCCATAGTCATCCACCGCCGCGGGGACGTGTCCCCAGGGACTCCCGGAGCGGTGGATGTGAACATCTTTTGGCGGTGGGTAAGCACCAGAGCAACGCCACTCCCACCTGATTCGGCGACAGCGCCCCTCCAACGGGTACTTTGGCCAGTGGCCTGGCGAACCCAATCCTCCCCGATGTGGGCAACGCTGCAATGCCAGAAAGACGCCCTAACGTGGCAACTTTCGGCAATTTTCAACAATACCCGTACCTGTTACGGTGCTGCTGACGGCGTGTGGTGACCCGTTACGGTGCCGCCGACGGCGTGTGGTGGGGCTCGAGGCGGAGCTCGGGAGCCTTATCACAGAACATCGCGTGCATCGGCGGGATGAGCGAGGTCGTCGGCAAGCGCCGAGGGAGTCGTGACATAGACGGCAGCCGGAGCGGAGCGGTCGATGGCATGGAGCAGCGGGCAGGACGCGAAGGTAGCTGATGTGCTGGCCTGGGGCAGACCTGGTTGACACACCCCCCTTGCAAGCAAAACAGCAGCTGATCGAGGAAGTCCAACATCAGGTGCCATCCCAGGAGGAAGACGAAGGAGAAAGAGGAGGGGAAAGCATGCCCCAGGAGCTTGGTCGGCTTCGCCCGGTGCCTCTGGAGCTCCATCTCCTCGGGGCGGCAGTGGCCGCAGAGGCGGCGACGCGATCGTCAGCAATGGCGGCAACGGTGACAACGACTCGGGACTGCAACGGTGGAGGTGGGATGACAGCAGACTGAAGATGGATCCAAATTCGACACAATTGGGGTCCACGCCCTTAACAAAAAAGAAAACGGCCTCTAGAGAGGAGGAGGATGTGGAGGAGGAGGAGGAGGAGGAGGAGGAGGAGGAGGAGGGATGGAGGAGGAGGGATGGAGGAGGATGATGGAGAGAAGGAGAAGGAGGAGGATGAGGAGGAGGAGGGGCAGGAGGGAGGAGTAGTAGGAGGAGAGGAGGAGAAGGAGAGGAGGAAGAGGGAGGAGAGGAGGAGGAGTAGGAGGGAGCAGGAGGAGGAGAGAGGGAGGAGAGGAGAGGATGGAAGGGAGGAGGAGGAGGAGGAGAGGAGGAGGAGGAGGAGGAGGAGGAGGAGAGGGAGGAAGAGGACGAGAAGAGAATTCCTCCAAATCCTTGCTAAAGGATTCCTCACTGAACAAATCGCTGATAAGGAGTCCTTACGAGGACCTAGAGAGAGCATTGAGGCGGACTTGCAACCCACTTGCAGGAGCCTTGAAAAGTGGGCTGCAACCACCTTTGCCGCTGCTGCAAGCCGAACCGACCACTTCAGCAAAAGGTCCGTGAAGGGCCCAACGGGAGCCCGAGCACGGGCAGACCCCTCCAGGGCCCCTGCTCTCCAGGACCCGGCTCCCGAACATCCGATATGTCTTGATTTCTTCACTACGGGGCCCCCGAAGTTGGAAGCTCCGACCCCTCCCCCTCCTCCTCCTCCTCCTCCTCCTCCTCCTCCTCCTCCTCCTCCTCCTCCTCCTCCTCCTTCTCCTTCTCCTCCTCCTCCTCCTCCTCCTCATCCTCCTCCTCCTCCTGCTTCCTCCTCATCATCCTCCTCCTCCCCTCCTCCTCCTCCTCCCTCCTCCTCCTGCCCCTCCTGCTCCTCCTTCTCCCTCCTCCTCCTCCTCCTCCTCCTCCTCCTCCCCTCCTCCTCTCCTCCTCCTCTACCTCCTCCTCCTGCTACTCCTCCTCCTCCTCCTCCTCCTCCTCTCCTCTCCTCCTCCCCTCCTCCTCCTCCTCCTCCTCCTCCTCTCCTCCTCCTCCTCCTCTCCTCCTCCTCCTACTCCTACTCCTGTACCCCTTCTCCTCCTCCTCCTCCTCCTCCTCCTCCTCCCTCCTCCCCTCCTCCTCCTCCTCCTCCTCCTCCTCCTCCCTCCTCCTCCTCCTCCTCCTCGTCCTCCTTCCTCCCCTGCTCCTCCTCCTGCCCTCCTCCTCCTCCTCCTCCTCCTCCTCCTCCTCCTCCTCCTCCTCCCTCTCCTCTTCTCCTCCTCCTCCTCCTCCTCCTCCTCTTCCTCCTCCTCCTCCTCCTCCTCCTCCTCCTGCTCCTCCTCCTCCTGCTCCTCCTGCCAGTTCTTTTTCCCGAGCAGTTTGGTTGACGGTCCCGGGGCCCAGCGGGGGCCTCGCGGAGAGACCGAAACTGTCCGAAAACCGTCCGGCGCGATTTTGGTTAGGTTTTCTCCGACGACACAAGCATGTCGTTAGGTTTTCTCCGCTGGCGATCGCCTGAGGGTGCAACTTCCGCGCGAGGGCGGCTTCCGCGCCAAGGGCGCGGGCCACTTGGCTCACCAGGCCCTCTAGCCCCGTCCCCTCCGCGCGCCAGCCGCGCCTGCCCGACCAGACGACCCCCAGCAACCGAGCCACACCCAGAGGAGAGGGGGGAGGACAAGGGGAGGAGGGAGGGATGAGGGGGACGCGAGGGGGAACCTTCGGGGGGGCCGGCTCCGGCGGGGGAGACATCGAGCCAGAATCGGCGCTGCACCGCCGACAGATCGGCGATGGGCCCACGATGGCGAAGCCGCACGGTCCTAGGCGGCGTGGGCTGTCGGCCATCGGGCCGCTATCGGCGATCCATGGGCGAGCGGGGGCCGATGCATCCCCCCCCCCCTTGAGCCTAATCATCCCCCCCTAACGTGCCCCTGACGGGCCAGTCTCCCCCCTAGCGCTGCTTCTGAGCCGAGGCGACGACGACGACGACGACGACGACGACGACAAGCTGGAAGCTGCCAGGAGGCGAGCCTGGCCCAGGGTGCCCCCAGCTTCCTGCGCCCTCTTCAGGCGGTGACGTCCGAGCTCTGGACCCGCCTTGGCCCCTGCGTCACCCTTGCTGAGGTTAGCGCGACGCAGCGCAGAGCGCACGCTCGCCGAGGAGCAGTGCTTTCGGCCCTTTTCCTTCTGAGCTTCTGCGGGGGCCTCTGCAGAGGCCTCTCTGGAGACTCCGGCCAGGTCGTCGCTGAGCCTCCGTGGGGCCTTCCGCGTCCCCTCCGGGGCCTCCGCAGATCCGTACTCGGCCCCGTCGCCGCTGAATCCCTGAGATCCGACGCAGCGGAAAAATGATCTGCAACATCATAAAAGATCACGCCCGGAGCCCTAGGCCCCATCTTTCCGCGTCACTTGTCAAGCCCGATCGATATGTGAGGGCCACGGGGCCCGGGGCCCGAGAAAAGGCGAAAACTCCGGGCTCGAAAAAACTGAGGCGTCAGGATCTCAGGGATCGTCGATCGGCGAGGGCAGGGTTCGGATCTCGCCGCCAGATCCTGGAGGCCCCCCTGGGGGCCCCCTGGGCCTCGCGAGGCGCCCGAGGTCGCCGCCATGCCATGCTGCCAGGCGCGCCCGCGGCACCCTGCCGACGGGCCTTCGCCGAGCGCAGTCCCCAGGAGAGCGCCTTGGCGCCAGCAGGCGGCGCAGCGCCACGCCCGCCGAGGTGGAGACCCCCAGACAGCCGACGCTCCTCGGCTCGTGTTCCCGAGGCTCTGGAAGTCTTGGGGGCGGCAAGATCGGCGAGGAGGGGGAGGAGAAGAGGGAGGAGTGGGCGAGGAGAGGAAAGGAGGAGGAGGAGGAGGAGGAGGAGGAGGGGCCCGTATCCATCCTTGGCTCAAGATGACCAGGGGGTCATTGAGCCAGAACGTAAGCCTACGACTCGCACTGCCCATCAGTCTCCTGCTCACCAGCATCTCATCAGATGGCGTGCGCGTGGTGGCAGGAGTCGCCCGCCCAGCCCGCCTGTACCAAGAAGCAGTGGTGGCAGGAAGAGCAGTGGTGGCAATGTCGTACGAGTGGATGCCACGCGTGGAACCAGGTGGCAGCCAAGAAGTGCAAAGGATGTGGTCTCAAGAAGAGTTGGGCCCAAGTTGTTCAGTCCGACAAAGTAGAGACGCCGCCGCCGTGGGCCCAGCGCACCACGACCTTGGACTCTGCTGTTGGCCCGACCACGTCATTCACTGCGGCTACTACCCCGCAGATCGACCACAATGTCAAGATCAAGAGCCTCGAGAACGCGTTGGCCGCACTGCCGCCTGGCGACGAGTTTCAGCCCACGCGAGAGATCCTCACGAAGCAGATCCAAGAGGCCAAGAGAAATGTCACCCTCTCGAAGCCGCTGAGCAGCCAGCTCGTCTCGTGCAGGTCAGCCGTGGAGCGGGCCGACAAGCGCCTCGCCGACAGTCAGTTGGCGCTGGCCAAGGCACAGGACGAGGTGAGCCAGGCTGCCGCGGAGTCGGAGCAGCGGAAGACCGAGCTGCAGGAGCTCGAAGCCAAGGCGCTGCAGGTCAATGCCCCGAACTCCCTCGAGGCATCGACTCAGAGCCTGTCCAGGGTCATCGCCGACGCTGAGAGAGGCGGAGACAGAGATCATGCGCCTCCTCGCGGGCCTCCAGAGGATCGCGACGGAGGCCAACGCCCAGCTCACGCCGGTGCAGAAGAACGCGGTCGACGAGGACATGGAGCCAGACGACCAGGTGGTGAAGCGCCGCATGAGAGGGAAGCAGAACCCGATGGCGCCAGGCACCGCAGCGGCCACCGATGCTGCGCCAGTTTTTCAAGATGCAGGCCCCCCAACCTCGACGGCATAGAGGACTCGGCCTACACCAGAGTGCTGTGCGCCACGGGTAATGTGCGCACGTTGTACCCCAAGCAGGAACTAGCTAGTTACTCCAAGGTGGTGGGAGCTACCTTGATGTCGAAGGTGGCCTTACTTGAGGCCCAATTTTCACATGCAGGAATTCAACTGATCGGCATTCAAGAGGGACGAAGTCGGTCGGAACCAGTTAGAGCAGGTACCTTCTACACCATGTTCTGTGCTGCGGCAGGCGCAAAAGGCTGCTACGGGACTCAGTTGTGGGTGAGCTACGACGTCGAGTTTCGGTTGGAGGCCTGGGCAGCCCCGCATTCACGGATCGTGATAGCGGCGGGCACGATCGCAGCGGATGAGGGCAGGGAACGAGTTCCTCTCCTCGCGGTCGCAGCATACGCACCTCATTCTCATGATTCTCCTGAGCATCGCCAGAGTTTCTGGTCTCTGCTGAGTGATACGATCACCAAGTGGAGACAAAGATATCATTCTTCTTTTGTGGTCCTCGCCATTAATGCGAATGCTCGGGTTGGCTCAGTGCAGTCGAGTGCCTTTGGACGAGAAGGCGCTACCCGAGAGAACCACAATGGTGCTCTCATGCGAGCGGCGCTGGAGGCGCAACGCATGGTCGCTGTCAATACCTTTCAAGCAAGCGAGTGGACGTGGAGACCACCCAGAGGCAAGCCGTCTCGACTGGACTACGTGTGCATTCTGAAGGGCGAGTATGTACCCGAACGGAGTGTTTGGGTTCCAGATGATTTAGATTTGACTCTCGATCAACGTGTGGATCACAGAGTCGTTGTTGCCGAGTGCGTCGTGCGTGCAGTACCTAATCAGGAAGTGAACGCTGTCGTTGTGGAGAAGGCGTCTCACATCTTCCCAGCCCGCTTTGACCGTCGGCAATTGGGTGACCCGAGCTGCCGCGAAGCGTTTCAACAGAAGATGTGGGAGCATCAGATGTCTGGCGGGGATCCGACCGAAAAGCTTGAGCATTTCAACGAATATGTTCGGCAAGCGGCCTATGAGGCCTTTGGCAGTAAGAGAGATACTCCCACTAAG